TGAACAGTGGGAAGATTAAAGACACAGATGCCAGTGTGATTAAATGGCAACTTTGTATGAGAGGCTTTAGGCAAGCCTTTAAAGAAATAGCGATGGCCACAAAAATTCATACCAGCACACAAAGCAGAAGAGACTGAGCTGTTCAGTTTTATTTTTATTTTATTTTTCCTCAGCTTCCTCCAGTGTGTAGGCATGTTGGAAGAGCAGCTTTAACAGCTTCGTAAAAACAAACGCAGGTTGTCAAGCATCCACAATCACTTGGCCAGAAAGCAACATTATTTTATACTTTCCATTATGCATGATTTCACCACCAGCTCCTGTTTAGCAGAAAAATTTGTTGCTGAGGAGGGAGATCCTCAGATCTCAAGTTGTGGAAAAAAAGGTCTCCTGTGATTTCACATAGAAAGCAAATTCTCCACCTTAATTTTTTTCAATACAACATCTACAGATACACTTAAAGTGTCAACCCCACAACCTCAATGTAATTATCTTAAACTAACTTTATTACTGGACAACCTGAGAGTACCAGTTTAGTTCTGTGTCTTCACTGGATTATTATTAAGTAATCAAAAGTGACACTACGTGTTTGTTTAAGAATATATGTGGTTATTCATAAAACAGATTTAATCTTCCATACATGACAAGCCACAAAAAGCACAAGTAACTCAAGGTAAGACATTTCCAAATCACTTGGCTCTGTCTCCAAAGACACACCCAGGTCCCTTCCCCATCCCTGGTCATCTGAGACCAGAGAGAGGAAAATCAGCATTTTCCTACCCCACTGACTGTAAACAATGGGTATCAAAGCATGAGCCTCATCCCTGCTCCTCCACTCAACACAAGTTAAACTCCTCAGAAGCTAGTCAGATTAGACCTAAAAAGACATTCCAGTCTGCTTCTTTCAATATGGTATGTTACAGCCTGAAGTTTGTACTTACTGCTGGCCAAACTTTGCCTGGCCTTGCATATGGGGACATATGAGTCCCCATCTATAATGAAGATGCAGTCACCCATAGCTTTGCTAACTAACTTGGTGAATTACCACAAGAATTCACCTGCTGTTACTTACAACCAATACACCAAAGGTAAACAGCAAGGAGAGGAAAAAAACCAACTCCAAACCATAGGTCCGCACCTTCAGTTCTTACCAAACACAAAAAGTTCGACTCAGAGGAACTAAGTTTCACAACATTGCTTTACACATGCCAAAATGACAGACAGATAGAGTTTGCATAGAGCTGACAAGTCAGTCTCATACACCCCAACTCCAGAACTGCTGACAAGTCATCCTGAAACACCCCAGCTCCAGCTAGATGAAATCAGCAGAGGACTAGATCACTGCATAATGAAATTCACCCAGATCCATCCAACAAGAAATGGTTTATCTGGTAACTACTCAGTTTTCACTAAGATGAAAATCAGAACTTGTCATTTGGTAGAAATGTTGTCTCCAACACCTTAGTATTGTTTTCGATGATCCACGTGGTTCAGAAATCATATGTTGCATTCAGTTCCTGAGAAGGAAGAAAATGCACAACACAAAATGCCAGAAGGGCAAATTTATCTAAGACGCAGTGCCTATCGCACAACCAAACCAATTCATTCAAATCACCATCTCTTTCTGCTCCTGTAGGCCCCTCAGGTCTGCAGAAGGAGCGAGTAACAGGACAGGTCTGTCAGGCCAGGAGACACTGCTTAGGAACGCCTGCAGTCTCTGCTCCATCGTGTACCTGAAGAAAGCTTCTGCAGCAGGACTCGCAGGCAGGCACCACTGAATTAGTGCTTGTAAAATGAGGTGACTGAAGTACCCTTCATCTCGGGCAAAAAGCCCCTGGTCATGTGAGAGAAGATGTGCCTGTTCACATGACAGGACTGCCCAAACCCCTTGCAGGATTTAGGTCAAGTGACAGGAGCAGGCTGCTCACAGTACTGAAGGAGACACCAACTGAGGGCTGCTGTTTGACAGTATTTTGTACTATCAGAAGTACCACCTACTAAGAAAGCAAGATTTAATTTCTCTACCTAGATTTCCCAGTTTTCTGATAGTTTCTTGAGTTTTTTGAGTAATTTGGTGCTTTCACATTTATTTTCCTCAAAGGAAGCACCACAATCACATCCCAGAAACTGCATGAATTATCTCTGTATTTACAGGATAGCACACTAGTTCACATTCCTGAAACATACCGTTTTAAAATCAGTGGCAGATTTTAGCTGTGTTGTCATGAAGTCTAGAGCCACTACAAAGCTTCTTCAACCTGTACTGAGACCGGAGAAGATGTGTAAGATGAGACCTAGGAGATCGTGGAGCCTCACAGTCCAGACCTGCCCGTAATGCAAACCTCAGTCATGGTAGAACACTACTGACAAGCCACTGAAGGACCTGTTGGAAGAGCCTCAGTCTCTTGACTCAGCCATTCAATGCCCCCCCCCAAAATAAACCCTAGCCAACCTACTTTAAAGTTTTTAAACTGTGCTGATACAAAAAAGTTCCCTCTTTCACAAAACCACAATACAGCAGTATTAGGGAAGGAGGCATTTCTTGTGCTGCTGCCACGATGGGTCTTCAGCTTTAGGTACCCCATGTGAAGACTGGACATAAGTAGTTGAGTATTTCTGCAATTATAAAAACTTTTTTAATACTGAAAGACAATCCAGAGCACAGACACTTGAAAGGTGTCTATTTTTACATTAAAATAAGCCTCATAAAATGACAACATGGCTAACGAATTAACATTTGAAAGGTAGAAAAGAGGGGGCCTAAATTCAAGAGTTGAAGCATTTTTTTTTTCTTTATCATGCAGTGCATCATAGACACAATTCTCTTTTAGAATTTCAAACAATACATTGATTTATGCCTTATGATTAGTCATTATCTAAGTGGTACAATCAAAATCTTTCATAAATGAAAGAATAGTAATATATTACTGAAATCCAAAGTACTTCTAGCCAATATTTGCTTTTAAAGAAGCTATAAATATTACACTTTCACTCTCTAGGAGTTTCCTTTTGTTTGCTCTCACATTAATCTCCACTTGATTGGAAACTTCTGCTGCACTAACAAAGTTCTGCACTTATGACCCCTCTCACCAACTATTACAATCAAATTATTTTTAGCTACTATTCATACATTTGGATGCATTAATGCTGCACAAAGGTATTAAACAATCTAATGAAAAGAACATTGGCAAGACAAATTTCATATTCAGCTACAGTAAAGACTTAAGGAAGCAACTTTGCAATCACACCAGAGGAAACCTCGATTCATAGTTTCAAATCTAACAAAATGGAAGTGTGGTATTTTTACTACACCAAAAATGTGATGACTTGAGACAGAAAAAATTATCTGAGCTACAGTGACATAAATGTTTCTTGGCAAACCACAAATAGTATCCTCAGATTTTGAACACAAATGCTGTGCTACCATCTAAGAGTTCATCTATCCACTTACACCCATCAAATTCACCTACTTTTTGAAAAGTAAGTCTATTTCTGTTTGACTTCACATGCAAAAGAACAGCAAAGTTCAAAAAGGAAGTATACATTGATCTGCTCACTGTTATGATCTGTTCAGTTCCAGTGGGATAGCTCATGTATATGACTTTATAGGACCTATGCTTCTAGGACTGGGTAAAAATATTTTGCAGCAAATTTCATACCCTTACAAAATTGGAAACTAACATGCTGACGCAGTCATCCAACTGAAGAAAATGGATCTATCAGAGAGAGACGGCAAAAATAATTTTGTGTTGCATATGTAGTTAAAAAGATACAGTCTTGCTGCAAATTTAATTTAAAACAAAAAAAGAGAAACAACAACCCAATGTTCTATTTAGTCTAAAGCTGTATTTTCACATGTCTTTTAGTGTTGACCAGAGACAACAATCCCTTTAAAACCTAAAAAAACCCCGAGAACCTGACAGAACAAAACACCCATTCTGTCAGATGCAAAGGGGGCTAGGGAACAGTCGAAGATAAGGGACAACAAATGCTGGAAGAGAGATGAGTAGGGGACAAAAGTATGAGATGTGAATAGGAACATCATGCACATGGCAGATACCTTATTTTCAGTGGAGTGAGGTGGATGCCAAGTAAGAGAATTCAAACCTGAATCTGTGACACAAACAGGCTGCTCAATTCAAGAGGATAACATCCGTCAGGGACTGCAGCCGGTTAAGACTACCTTGGCCACCAGCAGCAAGAGAGCATGTCTCCGAGATACACGACAATGTCTGGCCACTATGGCTGCAACCTGGTGCTCTAGAGGCGGAGAGGAATCATGGCAGAGACCACAGTCTACACTGGTGGTGCACAGTCCTATTTCAAGTACTGCAGCTCAGAAATCTAGCAGAGAGAATTGCCACTTTTTCTGCTTTATGGGGTAAACCAGCAGTAGCTTGTGCTTCTTCAGTCAAAGCACGACACAGCGCATCAGTCTAAGAGCACACAACTCTTGTAGCCTACCTTCATCTCTGAGATTGCATCTGTGAAAGAAAATGGCAACAGTAGCATATTTCCCAAAATCACAAGCTCAAAGTTTGCTAACAGTAAGCAATTCTTGCTAAAGAGTAGGAACTAAGAAGAATTAGAATATTCATTCACAAATACTGGCTGTTTACAGCACGTTATGCCTCACAACCTAAAAATGAAGCTTCATAGCAAAATACAGTTCTTTTTTAGACAGCATCCATATGCTGTATCTTGAAACCTGGCCACCCGCCCAAGTTGCTTATTACATTTATAGAAACAAGAGGATATTCATTCTAAACCTCTCTTTTATCGAAGGGATAAATTAAGTGCCTGTAATATTTTTTTATACGTAGTTGCTTAACATGCCATTTTCTGGAACAGATTAATAGGCCACCACCTCAGAGACTGCAGTGTTTCCGACCGACACACATACACCATACTTACACTATGAAGTAGTTATCCATTATGTGCTACTTCATATACAATAACCAATATGGAGTTTACACAAATAGCTAGAAAGAACCCCCCCTACACAGTGTGTGTCTTGAAACAACACAGGATAGGGATTTTTTAGGGAAAGAAACAGAAACAGGGGAAGTACCTAAATCAGGGTCTCGGCCCTGATCAGCGGTGGAACTGAAGATAAAACGCAGACGGTCTGACCCCCAGATTGTTAGACAGACCCGATTCTCACAAGGTGGCAACAACTGCAGTTTGCATTTACACGCAGTTTGTCTCCTTCTAAACACCAGACAGCGAAAAGCGCTGGCACCTCTAGCACCAGATGCAGATTTGCAGGTGGCATTTATCACACCGTGCTGTTTGTAGGAACGTGCAATTCGGCAGGCGGCAACCCCGAGATCTGCCTCCAGCAGCGCTAAGGCTCTGCTCGGTCACACACGGACCCCGCTGCCTTCCGCGGGGCTCCAGAGGTCAGTCCCACCTGCCCACCCTACGAGTTCAACACCGCCCAACATCAAACTCAAGCAGACTTCACCTAAGAACTTATCTTTACAAATATATTCATCGCCTCCAGACCCCGGAGCCCGCGCCGGTTCCCACAGGTAAGCGCGTTTTTCCCCCAGGTAGGTGCTTTTTCCCTAGGAGGCTGTTTTTGCCGCCGGGCCGACGAC